TGACGAGAAAAATAAGGAGCAAATAAATAATTATTTTTTGCTCAAGTGGTTGCATAACCTTTTAAAAAATCGACTGCTATAAAGAAAAATTTCACGAGTTACATAAATTCTAACGCATTTCTACAAAATAGATGTCGGTGAATCCGATCAACATATCCCTCTTCCTAACGTTAGTGAAAAAGTTTTAAGAAAGGTATATTGATATCGAAAGAGAGTTATTTAATTTATTCATATATTTTTAAGCAGGAAATCTTTAAATATAAGATTAAATTGATTGTATTATTAAGGTTCTCGAATGGTGCGAACATCATGTTAATGACCCGCAACCAACTAATGATGATGATGATTCTCGCCGGAGAAATACAGAAATTGATGATTGGGATCAACGATTCCTAAATGTCGAACAGGATATGCTTTTTGAAATCATTCTGGTTAGTTTTTGATCAATTGTTTATAAAATCAGAAATATTTTATTTAAAATATAATCCTAACATAAATTAATTTAATGTAACTTTAAGGCTGCTAATTACTTGGATATTAAACCATTATTGTAAGAAATTTAATTCATTCATTATTATTTGCATATTATTTCTTTAAGTATTTAGAATTAATATTATTTATTATATTTCCTTCCAGGGATATTGGTTGCAAGACCGTTGCCAATATGATCAAGGGTAAGTCACCCGAGGAAATTCGCTCCACATTCAATATAGTCAACGATTTTACTCCCGAAGAGGAAGAACAAATTAGGAAAGAAAATGAGTGGGCTGAGGACCGATAAATTTGCGTTCATTAGGGTTGCGGTCCAATCTCTTTTTTTTTTTTAAATTACGGCATTACTACTTAGTTTGGGTTTGGGAATCGGCATCTCTACTTAATTTGGGTTTATGATCAAAGCTCAAATATATATCCCATTTCGTTGAATAGTGTCAAACTCAAAAACAACCGATTTATTAAATAAATGTGCGTGCATTTTAATAATGTAATATTAAATCTTTAAAACTTAAATTATTCAAGGATTTAAGACTTTAATCAAGTATTTGATAAACTCTTACTTAGATCAAATTTAAATTGAATTGATTAATTATCAGACAATGACAGGAACGGAAGAGTATGGTTTAATTATTCGCATCTTTATGATTTTATCTATATTTAAGCTTGAAAGTGCAATTGAACGTTGCGTGATCAAAGAAGCATACTTTTATAATATATATAATATGATATGATAATGTCTATATAATCGAAAAATTTTAGTTAAATCAGATCTACTACTAGAAGAACTTATAAAAAGAATATCTTTCTGAACAAAAAAATGCATTGACTGTTTACACGAAAATTTTCCATATTATTTTACATTTAACATTTCTATACTAGATATAACCTGTTGTTAACGGTCTAAATTTATAATTAACTATATAAAACACAAATGTGAAAACCTATGGGCGGCCAGTGGTTTAACGATATTGATTTAAAAAAATTTTTTACATTTCATTCCTGGCAAGTTCTATAACTGATAAAGAACATCTTAATTACCCGTATACCACCAATTCCGGAAGTAGGATACTATAATAGGGGTCTTTACATAGTTTCAAAAGAATTTTCTAACTTATCGTTATGAACCAATAGTGCCATAGTCGGTGGCGTAGTACAATTGAAATCTAAAATGCTACGTACTGTACGTACGTACGTTCGATTTTTAATATATAGATTACTTTTTTATTTTTAACCACCGCGCCACATTATGTTACAAGTTATTACCCTGTTCTCGAGTAATCATTACATCATCTCTTGCATAGTAATTCCCATAATCTAATTATGTGTGCATTTGATGAATATCTGATATTAGTAAAACCCATCTTAAAAATTCGGCTGTTTCATCACTCAATTTCGCAAGTTCAGTGATATTTGGAACCGATTAAAAGTGGTTTTAATTGTCTGGAGCGAAGGACTCCTGCAAATTGTATAACAAAAAATATCAAAAACGAATCCTGAAATTTGACTACCTAGGGAGTCTATTAAACTCCTTCATATATTCATTATACAGTACAGTACAGTCAATCTGAACTTTTAAATTTTGTTAATAAGTTCGGTTTAAAAACAGTAAATTTTTTTTAAATTGAACATTTTCAGTTCAAACCCCAGAAAGATCCTTAATCTGATTCATAAAAACTACTTATGTCATATAAATATATCATGAAAAAGAGCGAAATAATTGAGATTTTTGGGCTTATAGAGCCCAATTGAGCTGCGAATGGAGCCAATGAGCTCTGAATAGGGCCAATGGATGCTAGTTTTTTGTGTACTATTCGCGTAATCGGTCTCCATTTCCTAGTGATATCGATATTTTCTAACCATTTTCGTATTATGTACGTACAAGACCGATCTGGTCGTTGAAATACTTATAATTGATGGAACCTAGAGTTTTCTTGACATGAATAGTTTTTATTTCTAACTTCTTTGAAATGTTAAAGCCAAATTAACGTCTCAGCTTCTGCCAAGTTTCGACATTACTTATAATATTGGTGTTCTATTGTTTACTGAAGAATTTTCTATTGTTCTATTGAGAATGTTTTAATACAAATCATTGTACTTGTCCGGAGTGTAGCGGAGAACATCTAATGTTTAGTCAAAGTGGTACAAAAGTTATGTTGTGATATCATATAATCTCATCATTCAATTTAACTATCACGAAAATTGAAGATTTCCGCCCATATGTTTACCTAGATTTATTTCCCGACCCAACTTAACTATGATTGCTACTCTGGCTCACAATCTACGTATCAACTACAGTAATTCAGTAATAATTTTAACACCATGTGTTCACATGACTTTCAGCTACAATAAATGAAAAATTACGATCAATGGTACGTAGAATAGGCTTACCTATTGTATATTTTTACAAAGCTAAAAAAGGAAAAGCGTCCGAATTTGCGGAATTGACCTAAATTAAGGTCCATATATTTTAACAATGCGAATGCAAAGCCGACCCCAAAATTTCAGCTATTATGCATTCTGCAATTGTTAAATCCAGGGACCCTAATTTAGATCCATTTCGCAAATCCGCCGATATGTATTGATGCAAGCCTATTTACAAACATAGTGCAGGTGTATAGTGAAAATCATTAAGGGTAGGGGGCATGTCGATCATTTTTCATATAATCTTAGTGGTAAATTTTTTTTCTTTAGAAAATAAAAAAGATTTTATTAATTAATATGTTTTTAGAAATTAAATAAAAGGTTCTTCTGATTCTAATAGTAGTAAAATTATTAAAATTGGTTAAATATTTATCGAGATAGTTATATTTAAAGATTTGGTATTATTTTTTGTTATATGATGATCATATGATATTAACCAATCAAAATTAATAATTTTGTATAACCCCGGAAAATTTGGAGGCACCCTGGAAAACTTTGCAATATATACAAGTATATTTTTTTAAAATATTTTAGCTATTAAAATTTATACTACTATAAAGAACATATTTTAATTTATTTAATATAAAAATTTTATAAAAATAAATTGCAACAGTAAAAAGTTTTATTAGTAGCATATTTCTATTTTTTGCAAAAATCACGTTGTATCACAAATATCATATGAAAAATGATTGACATGCCCCCTACCCCTTAATTGATTTTTTTTTTTTTTAATGTTAATTGAATTTTTTTATAGTATACAGTATATAGTAAAACATATAAAATTCAAACTGCAATAACTCTTGTACCAACAAATAAAATTACACTTGTCGGATTTGCTTTAGCATGATCTTTGAAGTAACAATGCTTTTTTTTGTTTATTTTTATTGTTTGGACATAGCAGGTGTCTCAATCTTCATGTATAAGTGTCATTTTTGATATTTTTTTTTTAATAAAAAATAAAAAATGTAGCTTTAAATTTTGTGTTGATTATTATTGCATTATACAATACATTAGAGGTTGTGTTTTTGATGTTTTTATTAAAAAAGCATCAAAGACAATACTTATATATAAAGATTAAGACACCCATTATGCTCTAAGCAATAAAAATAAAAAAAAAATATTGTTGCTTCAAAAAGCATACTAAAATGAATCTAACAAAGTAATTTTATTTGTGTAAACTTGCTAGTACAAGAGTTATCGCAGTTTGAATTTTATATGTTTTTATTATTATTTTACTATTATTTTTTTATTTGGTAGTCTTGCTAATACTATTTATTAGAATACTTAAGGTATTAATTTTTTTTTTTTTTTTTTTTAACTTTTTGACAGTCTTGTCAAAGCTCAAATATAAATTTTATTTATTTAATCAACAATAGTAAACTATTTCAACTAAACTAAGCTTTTAAATTGCAAGCTTAATATCTTCCGGCTGTGAAAACCATGCCTATGAGCAACTCGTCACACCATCTTGTTAGCCTATCAAAAGCTAATCTCTTTAATTCTTTTTTCTTTACCAAGAGCAAAAAAAAGTAGTGATTTTATGCTAATACTACAAAACTACCAATTATAAAACAAAAAAAACTATATTAAAAAACAAACTAAAATAAACGAAGGGAAATTTCAAAGGAAAAAACAAAAAGAGAAAAAAAGATATATGAAAAAAGAAAAACAAAGAGAAAAGCCAAAAAGGCTAACAAAATGAGGTGCTACCTTTATCAAAAAACAGCCAAGCAACTCAAAGGTTGTCATGAACAAGAAAAATACACTGTTATAGCCCATGCCAAGTTACAATAAAAATTTTATAACAACTACAACTGTTGTATATTTCAATTCTAAAGCAAAGCCTTAATATATACCTTTTAACTACTAGCCAAATCCAGATATCTCTTTGACCTGAGACTCTGATTTAAGTCATATAGAGTAATACTATATCTTCTAAATAAACAAGACATATTAGTTGTAATATACCAAGTTTGTTCAGATTTGGATGTAAACAATGCCAATCTTTTGACAAATCTTTATTTTTTTTAAAATTTTTGAAAAAATAGCAAGAAGTCAAAAATAAGTAATAGAAAAACCACTTGAGATAGAAAAAGAAGTGCAGCTTAAAAGCAATATAGAAATTTGATATTTTTCTTATATTTTTCTTTGAAGTGATAGCTTCGTCAACAAAGTTGGGCTTTACCACTTATACTCCACCAAGATTTTTTATACAAGAGCACTACCTGCTAGTTATTTTGTATAATAATGCTCTTGGCTTGTATGCCAAACATCCCTTTTAGAAGAGTCCTCTATAGCAGTAAGTTGACCTTTAAACAAACCACCATTAGGTTATGACTCTCTAACAAATTTTTCTGTTTTTTTTATTAGTAAGAATTTCAGTTCAAGTAATTATCAGAAAGAGTTAATTTGTAATATATTAATTACAAATGCATATATAAATTTACAACTATCTAATTTATATTATAAGTATTAGCTTATTTAGTTACTTAATTAGTACCTATGTACAGTGTTGTATATAGACGATGTTCCGTGAAAATTTCAGGGACGCAGACAGTCCTGGACAATATTTTATGTTCCAAACAATATCCCATGTTCATGATGGTATCCTATATCACAAAGTTTATCAAACATTCTTATTGGCTAAAAAGGACACTCTTATTATCCCTTAAACTATAGAGCAATTCCAGGCAAATTTGCCTGGAAAATTACTATAAATTTGCTTATGATCTACTTTTTTTAAAATTTAAAAT